GGAGGCGGTATATAGGGGCCTATGGCAGATTAGGGGCCTGGCAGCAGCTATTAGGAGGCCCGTAATCTGCCAGCACCCTAGTCAAAAAATTCAACACACCAGCAGCAGTGTGTGAGGAGACCTAAAAAGTGGCACATGGCAGAGCTGGTGGACCCAGGCAGCACAATGAGGAGGCCCCAGGGACCTAATGAGAGAAACACCATCCTGGCCTGGCAAGCAGCAACCCCCCAGCGCGGTACGAATACCCCCCCACCCAGATTTTAGGGGCCTGGCAGCAGCACACCCTGGAGGGGCCCGTAAAACATGCCAGCACCCATGTCAAAAAATTCTACCCCACCCAGCAGTGTTGGAAGGAGACCTGAAAGTGGCCACACCAGTTGTGGCGATGGACCCAGCAGCAATGGGAGGCCGTACAGGGACCCATGAGAGACTCTGGACCTGGCAGCAGCATGAGGAGGCGGTATATAGGGGCCCTATGGCAGATTAGGGGCCTGCAGCAGCTATGATAGGAGGCCCGTAATCTGCCAGCACCCTATGTCAAAAAATTCTACACACCAGCAGTGTGTGAGGAGACCTGAAAGTGGCACATGGCAGAGTGTCCCGATGGAGACAGCAGCAATGGGAGGCCGTACAGGGACCCATGAGAGACTCTGGACCTGGCAGCAGCATGAGGAGGCGGTATATAGGGGCCTATGGCAGATTAGGGGCCTGGCAGCAGCTATAGGGAGGCCCGTAATCTGCCAGCACCCTATGTCAAAAAATTCTACACACCAGCAGTGTGAGGAGACCTGAAAGTGGCACATGGCAGAGTGTGGCGATGGAGACAGCAGCAATGGGAGGCCGTACAGGGACCCATGACAGACTCTGGACCTGGCAGCAGCATGCATGAGGAGGCGGTATATATAGGGGCCTATGGCAGATTAGGGGCCTGGCAGCAGCTATGGAGGCCCGTAATCTGCCAGCACCCTATGTCAAAAAATTCTACACACCAGCAGTGTGAGGAGACCTGAAAGTGGCACATGGCAGAGTGTGGCAATGAGACAGCAGCAATGGGAGGCCGTACAGGGACCCATGACAGACTCTGGACCTTGGCAGCAGCATGAGGAGGCGGTATATAGGGGCCCATGGCAGATTAGGGGCCTGGCAGCAGCTATGGGAGGCCCGTAAATCTGCCAGCACCCTATGTCAAAAAAATTCAACACACCAGCAGTGTGTGAGGAGACCTGAAAGTGGCACATGGCAGAGTGTGGCGATGGAGACAGCAGCAATGGGAGGCCGTACAGGGACCCATGAGAGACTCTGGACCTGGCAGCAGCATGAGGAGGCGGTATATAGGGGCCTATGGCAGATTAGGGGCCTGGCAGCAGCTATGGGAGGCCCGTAATCTGCCAGCACCCTATGTCAAAAAATTCTACACACCAGCAGTGTGAGGAGACCTGAAAGTGGCACATGGCAGAGTGTGTGGCGATGGAGACAGCAGCAATGGGAGGCCGTACAGGGACCCATGAGAGACTCTGGACCTGGCAGCAGCATGAGGAGGCGGTATATAGGGGCCCATGGCAGATTAGGGGCCTGGCAGCAGCTATAGGAGGCCCCATAATCTGCCAGCACCCTATGTCAAAAAATTCTACACACACCAGCAGTGTGTGAGGAGACCTGAAAGTGGCACATGGCAGAGTGTGGCGATGGAGACAGCAGCAATGGGAGGCCGTACAGGGACCCATGAGAGACTCTGGACCTGGCAGCAGCATGAGGAGGCGGTATATAGGGGCCCATGGCAGATTAGGGGCCTGGCAGCAGCTATAGGAGGCCCGTAAATCTGCCAGCACCCTATGTCAAAAATTTCTACACACCAGCAGTGTGTGAGGAGACCTGAAAGTGGCACATGCAGAGTGTGGCGATGGAGACAGCAGCAATGGGAGGCCGTACAGGGACCCATGAGAGACTCTGGACCTGGCAGCAGCATGCAGGAGGAGGCGGTATATAGGGGCCTATGGCAGATTAGGGGCCTGGCAGCAGCTATGGGAGGCCCGTAATCTGCCAGCACCCTATGTCAAAAAATTCTACACACCAGCAGTGTGTGAGGAGACCTGAAAGTGGCACATGTTTGAGGCATGATTCATGGCGGATTTAGTCAGCAGTTGTGTCAGGGAACTGGTGGTTTGAAATCCAGACTAATCCACGCCTGATTCATTTTCACAAACGTGAGTCTCTCCCACACTTTGGGTGGACAGTCGTGTCCTCCGCGGAGTTACAATACCTCCTGCCGCACTAAACACGCGCTCCGATGCCACGCTACTGCTGGCCGGGCATGACAGCCTTTCAAGGGCAAATTCAGCTAGTTGGGGCCAAAGGTCAAGTTTCGTTGACAGTAGTCAAGGGGATTGTCTACCTCGGTTGGCAGGGTGCTGTCCAAGTAGGCCCAAGCCTGTTGTTTGAGGTCCTGCTCCAGGTCCACCTGATGCTGCTGCTGCTGCTGCTGGCGGCTGGTTAGTAGTTTCCTCACTGCGCTGTGTGAAGAAAGCTACTCATCATCGACTGCAGACTGAGGCAGCCGCTGCTGGTGGAGCTGCCACTGCTCCTACCACCCCACCCCACCCCTCCCCTGCTGCCATGGCAGCGGAACGCGAGCGCACAGGGCCCACAGTGTCTGAGGATGGACGTTGGCGCACAAAGGCAGAGACCAACTGACTACATAGGTGGTTTTTATAGTACGTTATTTTGGCCTCCCTCTCAGCAGGTGTGAAAAAGGCCACCATTTTGGACCGGTAGCGAGGGTCCAACAAGGTGGACAGCCAAAAGTCATCCCTCTGTCTGATGGTTATTATTCGGCTGTCGCTACGCAAGCAACCAGCATGCTATGGGCCATTTGTGCCAAGGAATGCGAGGGACTCCCTGCCTCCATCTCCACAGCATACTGCCACGGTGCGTCTGGGTCCTCTGTCTCCTCCTCCTCCTCCTCTACCAGATGCTCCTGCTCCTCCACTCCTGTCCGCTGAGTGGAAAACCACCCATTTCACTCAATAATTCCTGAGCACAAATGTCCTCCTCTACCTCCTCCTCTTCTTCCTGTCCTGCCCCCACAGGGGTCATGTGGCGTTGAGATCTGTGCGCCACGTCTACCGCACCCTGACCAGCCATTGTTAACAGCATTTGTTCAAGATGTGGACGTGCAACAGAGGAATGACGTCGTTCATCCCATAGTCCTGCCGACTCACGAATAGCGTGGCCTCCTCAAAGGGCCTGAGCAAGCGGCAGGTGTCACGCATGAGCTGCCAATGGCTGACATCGAAGTTACACAGGGGAGTACCTTTCCGCTTGTAACATCAGGAAATCGGTGATGGCCTTTCGCTGCTCGTAAAGGCGGTCTAACATATGTAGGGTTGAATTCCACCTTGTTGCAACGTCACAGCATGAGGAGTCGGTACGGGGGCCCATGGCAGATTACGTGCCTGGCAGCAGCAATGGGAGGCCCGTAATCTGCCAGCACCCTATGTCAAAAAATTCTACACACCAGCAGTGTGAGGAGACCTGAAAGTGGCACATGGCAGAGTGTGGCGATGGAGACAGCAGCAATGGGAGGCCGTACAGGGACCCATGAGAGACTCTGGACTTGGCAGCAGCATGAGGAGGCGGGTATAGGGGCCCATGGCAGATTAGGGGCCTGGCAGCAGCAATGGGAGGCCCGTAATCTGCCAGCACCCTATGTCAAAAAATTCTACACACCAGCAGTGTGTGAGGAGACCTGAAAGTGGCACATGGCAGAGTGTGGCGATGGAGACAGCAGCAATGGGAGGCCGAACAGGGACCCATGACAGACTCTGGACCTGGCAGCAGCATGAGAGGAGGCGGTATATAGGGGCCCATGGCAGATTAGGGGCCTGGCAGCAGCTATATGGAGGCCCGTAATCTGCCAGCACCCTATGTCAAAAAAATTCAACACACCAGCAGTGTGTGAGGAGACCTGAAAGTGGCACATGGCATGAGAGACTGTGGACCTGGCAGCAGCATGAGGAGGTGGGTATATAGGGGCCCATGGCAGATTAGGGGCCTGGCAGCAGCTATGGGAGGCCCGTAATCTGCCAGCACCCTATGTCAAAAAATTCAACACACCAGCAGTGTGTGAGGAGACCTGAAAGAAAGTGGCACATGGCAGAGTGTGGCGATGGAGACAACCCACCGACTGTTTTGCTCGCTGCCAAGCTGCCACCCTCTTCTCCTGATGATGCGGAAGCAATAGCCTGATGACGACGAGGCTGCCAAGTGCGATCAGCCTCATGCGATCAGCCTCATCATCATCAATTAGGGTCTCCGCCTCACTACTAGCCCCCTCGGCTGCGTGTGGGTCAGGAGACAGACCTGTCTCTACACCGGCTACCGAGCCACACTCTCCTCGCCACTACCGAGCCACTCTCCTCGCCATGTCTCCCCCCCGTTCCTGACCGCCCTCTGTTAGCTCTTCCTCACTGTACTGGGATGACACCGGGAGCACTAGCCTCTGGCTGCGAATAGTGCTGCCTCGACCCCTTCCTCTGCTGCCACGTCTGCTCGCTCCTAAAACATTGCCTCCTCTGCCACTCCTCTGCATGTTGTCTGACATACTCTTTAATTAAACGATTCTGTGTCCCTGAGTAACAATTCTGTGGCCCTAAGTAACGGTTCTGTGGCCCTCAGTAACAGTTCTGTGTCCCTGAGTAACAATTCTGTGTCTGTGCGAGTAACAATTCTGTGGCCCTAAGTAACAGTTCTGTGGCCCTCAGTAACAATTATGTGACCCTAAGTAACGGTTCTGTGGCCCTCAGTAACAATTCTGTGTCCCTGTGTAACAATTCTGTGTCTGTGCGAGTAACAATTCTGTGGCCCTAAGTAACAGTTCTGTGGCCCTCAGTAACAGTTCTGTGTCCCTGAGTAACAATTCTGTGTCTGTGCGAGTAACAATTCTGTGGCCCTAAGTAACAGTTCTGTGGCCCTCAGTAACAGTTCTGTGTCCCTGAGTAACA